GAACGCAGCCACAGTGCACCTATCTACAGGTGTGTATCCAAACATACACCTTCAATATGCACAAAGAGTTCACAGAGGACCAGTCATCATCTGCTCTATAAAATGTAGGTACTAATTTGCTGGTAAAGGCATGTTTTTGAATTTAGAAAGATTTGAGGAAACTAGAGTTTAAAAAACATAACTAGTCTGAGTACATCAATTTTAGAAGAGCAAGAATATTCAGTCCTAGCTTCCTGCTCATCTGTCCCTAGTAAAGCAGGGAGCAAAGCGCCTCAATGGGCGCCACCTGGTACACACTGCTTGCTCTTCTTTCCTGAGCCTTCATATAGAGATCTGCCTCAAACAGGAACTGACAACAGATTCCCAGTTAGAAAATTTCTTAAATGACTATTACTTGATTCTAGGGCCAGGATGACTGCCCTGGTTTCTGGTTTGGGGTATGCTTTATAGATGCCTCACTGATATTACATCTATTAGGTCAACTACTCCATCCAACTAGCACCTACCTGGCCCCTAACCTGTCTTCATTTCAATTAACCTACTTTCCAAAGAATTCATCCTTTTCTTCTATCCATTCTGACCCAGCCATCTCCCCACATTCTTAGTGTCCTCATGACTGAGGGAATCAATACTCTCTTTTTTACTGCACTTTACAGACAATAACAACACACAGGCTTGCCTAGGTCCAGTCAACTCTGTCCTACATGGTAACTCTGGGATCATGTTTTCCTCTCTGACTGAGAGCTGATCTGTAACCAGAGGGAGGTCCTTTTTTTTTTCTTTTTTTTCTATTTTTTTCATCTTCTTACAGACACTATCCTCAAAAGTATGACATATTAAAAATACCTTATACTTCATTCATTACCCAGTTAAAAGTAAAATAGATTCTAGAGATAAGCTCACCCAATTTATCTTAGTAGTTTACTAGTACATAACAGACATGAAAATAATCTTCTGAAAAGAATGTACAACATATTAAAGCAAGCTGTTTACCAGGAAATAGTCAAGAAGCCACAGGAACATAAAAATTTGCTATATTTTTATAATGTGCTATCTCACATTATAAATTTATTCACTATCTTTCCACTGCTTAAAACATACTTTATCTGCTTAAAACATACTTCAAAAAGGGTTATAATAAACCACTAATTAAAATTACTCAACTAAAACCCTGTGTCTATAGCATAACTGTATTATCCATGTGGCCACTATGCGGTTCAGTGGAGGGCTCTGAAGGAGGGGAACCAAGTGCCATATCCACAGCCATCTGGGCTTCTGTAGTTGTCAATCACTGGTGGTCCAGGTGTGTGGACTTAATCCCAGAACTAGCCAATCCAAGTCTTACTTAGTGTTGAAGTAGATCATGTTTTTCTTGCTAGCTGACTGAAAATTAATTGGTAACCTGAGGGAGGTTTGTCTTTGTCTATCTTATCTATCTATCTGTCGTGCTAGGAATCAAACCTGCGATCTCACACATGTCAGGCAAGTACCCAACCAGTGAGCTATAATTCCAGACTATTTTAGAACCAGAATGGCATTGTCACCTCTTTCAGAAATACAAGACTGGTGGTAGGGGTTTGGAAGGTTAATTTAAAAATGGTAAGAAAAAAATGAAGATAATAAAAGTATTCACTTTGGATCTATTTGGACTAGCTGGAAAATCCTGAAATACACTTTTTTCTTAACTTATATCACCTCCTTGTCCAAATACAGAAATTGACACTTGATGATCACTTTATCTAGTCTCATTGGAAGTACCAAATTAGGAAAAAAAAAAAAAAAAAAAGCCTGAGCTAAATTTTATCTGAGATTAAAAGCTGTATATAGTCTCTGTTTTAAGGGTACATGAATAATGGCCTATTTTTAAGTGTTTTAAAAACATTTGTAGCATGCATATTTTAGTAGAGAGTTGTTTACCCCTTTAAATAATGACTGTTTTGAAAGTTTTGGTAGCAAAGCTGTGAATGAACACTTTAATGTCTAAAAACATAAGATTGCTTAGAGATAACTAGCTAAATACACCATGATCTTATTCCATTAAATTATTAACTGATAAGATTTTATAACTGCAAGGTTTTAATACCTTATGAGATACTTACAACTGATAATGATTATGCCTTATTTTCAAGAAGAAATACTAATAAAATTTAGGGGTATTAATTCAATAATAGAATTTTAATAGGCTGGAATAATTCATCCTAGAAATAAAATTATTCTGCATTACAAATATACTTTAGGGTTCCTTTTGCAGTGAAGACTTTCATAGACACATTTATCATTTGAGATGTACTTTTTACTAGGAAGTTTCAAAGTTTAAATGTATATAAATACTTAAACTGCAACTTAAAATATGCTCAAATGAAAAAATACTAAAATATCAATTCAGAGCCCTAAAACAAGAAAACTACTACTTTTCAGTAACATTCTGTCCTGGGCAAAATTTATATGGTTGGTTAATGAAGAATATTTGATTTCTCAAATTCTAACCCCACCTACAACTCCAACAATAAAACCTGTATCTATTGGTAATGAAAGGACTGCATTTAAAAAAGACTGTTCATATATGTAAAATGCTATGATATAATAGCTGGAGGGAAATAAATCAAAGGATAAATGAATGGAAACCATTTGAAAAGCAGTATCAGGTTGGGTGCTGATGGCTCATGCCTGTAATCCTAGCTACTTGGGAGGCTGAGATCTGGAGGATTGTGGTTTGAGGCCAACCTGGCAAATAGTCCATGAGACCCCCATCTCCAAAATAACCAGAGCGAAACAACTGGAAGCATGGCTCAAGCAGTAGAAAACCTGCTTTGTAAGCACAAAGCCCTGAGTTCAAAACCCCAGTGTCACTACCCCCTACCCCCCAAAAGTAGTATCAGGTAAACTTGTTTTTTCTCTTGTCTGTGGTATTTTTTTTTCCCTTTCTTTTATTTTGTCATTTTTACATTTACTTACATGTGTATACATTGATTGGGCCACCTTCCCACTGCTCCTGCCCCCTCCCCACCTCAGGTAAACTTTTAAAAGGAGTTATATAGCAGGGCATAGAGAAAAGAAAACAGGGGAAGGAATTCAACCGAAACAGAAAACACTTGTTCTAGAATTCAGGAATCCAAGAAAAAGACTAGGCAAGGATTAGTTTATACACAGCAAGATTTGTACTTTGTGACAACCTAAAAATTTTAAATGTCTTTTTGTAATTTTTTTCTTTATTGGAGGGGTTAAGGATTAAACCCAGGGCCTCACACATGCTATCTATTTGTATTTTAAACAAGATACTTTGAAACAAAAAATAAAAAGAGAACTAATATATACTTAAGAGTTACATGACATTAAAAGTCTGGTACAGATATTAATCAGCGGGCTGGAAGGGTGGCTCAAATGGTATAGCACCTGCCTAGCAAGGCACAAGGGCCTGAGTTCAAACCCCAGTACAAAAAAATATATAGAAGAAAAGAAAAAGAAATATTGTTTCAGATATTAATCAGCACACAAGGTGCTTATTCTCTTCTCTGCTGGTAAATCATGATACGCAAAGACCAGTGTAACATCCTCCTGAAAAATACATCACAGCACAGCCACCACTGTGTCAAGAAATGGGTAGCTTAGGAAGGAACCCTGTGCTGGAAGCAAAGAGGCATTTGCTTAAGTAATAATTCTCCTAGATTTGGTTGCGTTTCAGCCAAAATAAATGTTCCATATAATCAACATCACAACTGAATAACATGCGGGAGAGGATCTATATTAAGAATTGCTAACATTTAGGGAGTTCTTCCTGTATGCTACTCCTATTTCAGATATTTTACACATATCATTTCGTTTCATCCTTGAAACAGTACAGTAAAAGAAGCATGATTCCTTTCCTCATCTCACATGAGCAAACAGCAGTGAGGTAACTTTCAGCTGGGATGTAGCTCTCAAAGAGCCCTGCCCTTCATCCAAGTTGATAGTGTTCTTAAAGTTCAAAGTAAAACTTTTCATGGCTTAAAGCATACACACATGCACTTAGAAAATGGCTTGTGCATACCTGAACCAAATGTACATAAAATTCAGTGATAAAGTAGCATACATGCTCTTTAAAGTATATGCAAATGTCAACATGATTTCTTGATCTGACATTTAAGGTTTATATCAGAAAGGTCCAGGATAATAAAGAATGGCTAAGGAGGACTATTTTTGTCCCTATTATGAGATTAAAATATGTTCCAAGTCTACAACCAGAGTCATCTTTTAATTAAGCATAAAACTGATGATACTTAGAAATGCTAAGACATAAATGAAAAACTATATTATATATAAAGAAGTTTTTGTTTTGTTTTTGCAAACCCCCTCCAAAAAACAGGAAAACAAACAGGAACACAAAGTTGTGAGCTGGTTTTAGTTAGACTGAACTTGTTTCATTCCGTAAATCAATCCTGAGTTAGGATTAGCACCATCTGCCACCAATGTGCTGGCTTCATTTACACAAATCACTTCACTTTTCAGCACCTCAGTGTCCTCATCTATCAAGTGGGAGTACTATCTATTCTGGGAATTTTACCCAGTTGAAATCAATGTTTGGTGATAGCAATAATGCTGTGTTTACTAGGGAATTATCACTGACTGGCTACCCTGGCAGTGTATGCTAGTGAATTAGGGGCAGCCAGTGGTTCTATTAACTTCCTCAAACTGCATTCACACCTGACTCATTCTTACAGTCCAGTAACTACCCTGAATAAGTGAAAAAAGTATTATTAAACAGGAAAAGAAGCAGTGGAGGCTAGATGAGTATCAATCCAATAATTAGGGACAGAGCCCTGGAATCAATTTTCTGAACAGCTAGAACAGTGTTTTGTTCTTTATCTCTGCTGACCCAACGGTGAGAATGGAGAAAAGACTACTGGGAATCTATTTTCCGTGTAAAATTCAACAAAGGTACAAACATCTTGAATCAGTAAGTTAGGGAAATCAACTCTCTTTACTGACTTGAAGCCTAGAATTCATGGAATTAACCTACATACCTTGATCTCTGGGAGCTGCATAACTTCAGGAAAGACTTCAATGCAATTGGAGTGAGCAACCACGGTGTGCATGCGCCTGCAATTCATGATCGTTGTTGGAATGGCTTTCAGTTTATTGCCACTGATATCAATTTCCTCAAGTTCTTCCAGTTTTGCCATTTTACTGAAAACGAGAAAAGTCCATGGGCGAAGGAGTTAAAAAATAATTATAAGGCAAATTAAACACATATACATGAGACTCAAAAGAGTAATTTATTATGACTTTAAAAACTCACTGGTAATAGTCATTTTGTATAAACATAATTTTCCACCAGATTTTAAGTATCAAAGTATTTTATTTATTTTTTCGGTGGGACTAAAGTTTGAACTTAGGGCTTCATGTTTGCAAAGCAGGTGCTCTATTGCTTGAGCCACATCTCCAGGCCATTCTGCTCTAGTTATTTTGGAGACGGTCTCAAATTATTTGCCCCAGCTGACCTTGCCCTGTGACCCTCCTGATCTCAGCCTACTGAGTAGCTAGGATTATAGGTGTGAGCCACAAGAACCTGGCTTCAAATTTTATTACCTCCTTTCCCATTACTGAACAAAAACTTCAACTCTTAAAACTGGCAACAAGAAGGAAAATGGGGGTTCATTTCCTCCTAAAAATCTGTATGTTAACTAAGTTATTCTGGCAATAATAAGTTTGTTATGTAGCTAAGTCTGAACTCCAGTGGAAATTCTACTTAAATGGGTCAAAAATCAGCATTAATCTAGTATAATTTCTTTAAGACAGCTTTAGGGTGACAGCATGGTCTTTGTATTGCACTGAAAACTCAAAAGGATGCAAACTTGCCTGTCTAGTAAGTGTGAGGTCCTGGGGGGTGGGTGAGGAAGGTACCTATTACAATGTATTTTCCTCCTCAAGTCCCACACCCCAAGTCCCTCTGACACCATTTATGTTTAAAAGGTGGTGGTCAGGAGTCATTCAACTCATCTGGCATTCCAATAGAACCTGAATTCAAACCAAGCTCCAAAGAAATTTTTCTCAGCTCTTGCTTAATACCTATAAAGGTGGAATCTCTTAAACATTAGCTTAATAACATGTTTTAATGTAACTTAAAAACTTTTTTGAAGATGTTTTTATTGTTTAATCACCATCTGTAATCTTTTTTTTATTATGAAATAAGGAATGTATTTTTTTTCAATTCATATGTACATGCAATGTTTGGGTCATTTCTCCCCCCCCACCCCCTCCCTTACCACGCACCCCGCCCCCTCCCTCTCCCCCCCACCCCTCGATACCCGGCAGAAACTATTTTGCCCTTATTTCTAATTTTGTTGTAGAGCAATAATAGGAAGGCACAAGGGTTTTTGCTAGTTGAGTTAAGGATAGCTATACAGGGAGTTGACTCACATTGACTTCCTGTGCGTGTGTGTTACCTTCCAGGCTAATTCTTCTTGATCTAACCTTTTCTCTAGTTCCTGGTCCCCTTCTTCTATTGGCCTCAGTTGCTTTTAAGGTATCTGCTTTAGTTTCTGTGTGTTAAGGGCAACAAATGCTATCTAGTTTTTTTAGGTGTCTTACCTGTCCTCATATCTCCGTTGTGTGCTCTCGCTTTTATCTTGTGATCAAAGTCCAATCACTTTGTTGTGTTTGCCCTTGATCTAATGTCCACATATGAGGGAGAACATACAATTTTTGGTCTTTTGGGCCAGGCTAACCTCACTCAGAATGATGTTCTGCAATTCCATCCATTTACCAGCAAATGATAACATTTCGTTCTTCTTCATGGCTGCATAAAATTCCATTGTGTATAAATACCACATTTTCTTGATCCATTCGTCAGTAGTGGGCATCTTGGCTGTTTCCATAACTTGGCTATTGTGAATAGTGCTGCAATAAACATGGGTGTGCAGGTGCCTCTGGAGTAACCTGTGTCACAGTCTTTTGGGTATATCCCCAAGAGTGGTATTGCTGGATCATATGGTAGATCAATGTTTAGCTTTTTAAGTAGTCTCCAAATTTTTTTTCCAGAGTGGTTGTACTAGTTTACATTCCCACCAGCAGTGTAAGAGGGTTCCTTTTTCCCTGGCATCCTCGCCAACATCTGTTGTTAGTGGTGTTGCTAATGATGGCTATTCTAACAGGGGTGAGGTGGAATCTTAGTGTGGTTTTAATTTGCATTTCCTTTATTGCTAGAGATGGTGAGCATTTTTTCATGTGTTTTTTGGCCATCTGAATTTCTTCTTTTGAGAAAGTTCTGTTTAGTTCACTTGCCCATTTCTTTATTGGTTCATTAGTTTTGGGAGAATTTAGTTTTTTAAGTTCCCTATATATTCTGGTTACCATCTGTAATCTTAACCAATAATTAAAGTAACCAAGTAAGGAAAAATTCTAGAATCAGGATTCATGCACTCTGTCAGTTTTGAAGACAGAGCAAGTCCTCCACCATTTGTAATAACTTGTGTGACAGTATCTACTCACTCGACACCCTACCCCTGGTGATATGGAACTCCAAGGAGTTGTCAACTCAATCTTATAAACTGAGTCACTTAGTTTAGAGTTTTTGATACTTTTTTCTGCTGTTTTCATTTATGGCAATATACTTTAAAATATTTAGAAGGCCAGTCATAGTGGTGTATGCCTATCTCAGCTATTTGAGAGGCAAAGATAGGAGGATTGTGGTCTCAGGCCAAATGAAGGGGGGAGAGGAAGCACTATCTGATAAACAAACTAAATGAAGAAGGACTGGGGGGGGTGGTAAGGCTCAAGTGGTAGAGCATTTGCCTAGCAAACATGAGGCCCTGAGTTCAATCCCCAGTACTGAAAGAAAACTTAGCAAGAAACATTTGCTTATCTTGAAAACAAATGTGACTAAGAAATAAAATACATAAAATATAACTAAATATGTGACTAAGATATAAACAAGAACTAAGTTTTTATCTTATGATATCAAATCCTTTGATATTATAAAAAATATCCAGTAGGTTTTTTATCAGGACATACTAAAAAAAAATTTAGTACACAGACTATGAAGTAATGATCTACGACAGCCTGAGTTCCTAAGAATATTATTTGAATATGATGCCATCATGTTTTGAAAGAAGTATGCAGAAAGCAAGTAGGTAAAAGGGCATGAAATATGATGGAAGGTACAGAAATAAGGCCCAAGAAAAGTTAAAAGAAGTTTCTATTTCTCAACGTAGAAATAAGATGGCCACACAATGACTTAGAATGAGATTTCCTCAGAGCTTGTGTTTATTTCTCATGTAGGGTTTAGATAGGTGCCATCTGAAATAGGAAAAGGAGCCCTTTCAAATATATTGTTATGTGGTTATCATGGTTTTTTTTAAAGGCATTATCTCTGCATTCCATAGTAGGTTTAAGCACACAGAAATTATAGTTTAATCATCAATATCAAACAAGAGGAAAAATAGAAAAATAAGTTACCAAAACCAAAGCAATACCCAAAGTCAACACATATGTGCCTTCCTCCTTCTGCAAGGGCTGAAAAAGACTGGCAGGTAGCCCTGAGGGCAGCAGAGGGAGGTTCATTCTCTATGCAAAGCTGCAGTTACTACCAGGGTATCAGACGGGTTAGTGTTTGCTTCTTTGATGTGTGGGCTCCAAGTACTAACCGTGAGATGTAAAAATGCCAATGAAATGGAAGTAGAGCAAATCCTCATGGCAGGTTCAGCGTGTGTATTCACACAAAGCTAGATTATTATGCCACTGCTCCCCAAAATGAAGACATTTTTAATGAAACAGAATCATCTGAGACCCATGATTTGCAATGTCACAGGCTAGCACTGCTTTTGAATTTTAATTTAACTTAATCTCATTGTAGGACAGAATCTTGGACTTACACATTTACCGCTTTTCCCATCATGAGCATGAATATAAAACACGGTCCTGGTTTACATCCTAATTCTCATACAGCATATTAATTTAAAAAATCAATTTGGTTAAACAGAATAGAAAAATAAGCAACATTGCTTATTTCAAAATCCTAAGAACAGTCTAGTGATTGAGTCTTTGGATAGATTCATGTAAGAAAATCCAATATATTTCTCCCTAGGGGAATGCTTGCTGATTCCAGCTTATATAAAAGACAACTACGAAAAAGGGTGGAACAAGCAACGGGTTTTTAGTATCTGTGAAGTAACATTTCAGCTTTGACCTTCCCCCTTCCATGAATACATGTATCGAAATGCAACTAAGACTATCACTTCACCACTCTATATTACCTTGCTGGAAAACTTTGAAGTCGATTATAGGCCATGTGAAGGATCTTCAGATGGGGGTGTCCTGTTAACAAGGGCACACATTTGTCGGTGAGGTTGTTGTTTGTCAAATACAACTCCTGTAAGATACTGCTGGTCTCTTCAGAAAGTGTGGCTGGAGGAAGTGTTTCCAGTTTGTTTGCAGATGCATTCAGGAATCTCAGGCTACAATGAGGAAATATAATAAAACCCCACTGTAAGCCAGAGCTCCAGTTCAGAACACTCAACAAACTGAGATGCTACCTGATGGATAGAAGGCATATTGGAAGCTAGGTTTAGAAACATGAATGAAAAGGCAACTCCTGGCATATGGATTCCTGACCCACTATGTGTGATGAACAAAATAGCTATCGTAAGTATTAAATACAAAGAGATACAAATCAACTTTTATAGAAGCACAAAGGTAAGAGAAAGAATTATAACTGGTAGAGTGGAAATGAAAGCAGTAGGTAAGGTTAATAATCTATCTTAAGGAAGAGAAAAGTAATTGCTTGTTTTCTTAAATAAAGGGGTTGTTATAGTCACAGACAATTAGTTATTACATTACAATACAAATAAACTACTCAGTCCTTCTTAGGATAATGTCTAAATCACATTTTTTTCATCTATTAACGATGGCATACAGTAATCTTCTTTGTAGTAAATTAATGGAATATTATGTAGCAATGAGGATGAAAAACTACAACTACAGCATCAACAGGATGAATCTCATAAATATTATGCCAAGTGAGAGAAGCCAGACACAACAGGATACACTGCATGATTGCTTTGCTACAAAGTTCAAAGTTAGAGTCCAGGTGGTTGTAACCTCCTGCTTTCATCCAGGAGGAGGTATCTAACATTTCTATTATCCTCTTGGGTCTCAGTTCAGTTACATGACTATGTTCACTTTGAGAAAAATTCATCAGGTGCTACATTTATGTTTTGACTACTTTATTTATATTATATGTCAATATAGTTTATACTAAAACAAACAAGCTAGACAGTACATTTGCTGCCACTGTTCCAGATGATGCAGTGAGTAATGGTAAAATACAAAGAACAGTTGTATATCTAAGATAACTAAAACTGTCAAAAAACTACACAATCCTTCCAGCTACTTGGAAGCACAGGTAAGTGCACAATGTATAACTAGATTGAAGAGAATCCTTGCTGTGATCAAGTTCCAAATCATTCCAAAGGGATGGGAAGGACAACACAGAGACAGACTGTGCTATGGCTCAAGTCAGAGGTGACCCTTCTGCCCTGAAAGATGTCTAGCTGTGCAGCTGCAACAAGTGAGAAAGGAGTGCTCAGCACATGGGCTCAGCAGTGAGAACTAATGGGTCAACTTTACCTGTCCCACATCTATCCTGTTAATGAACTGCACCATTCTCAGTTGAAAATCACCTGGGTTGAAACTTTCAGTATGGATTTGGAACTATTCTGCCACATGTTAAAAAAAAAAAAAAAGAATTTTAAAAGGAAAAATATAGAATGCCACGAATGCCAAGTACAGTTATTTTTAATTCTGGATAAAAAGAAAGCTTTATATTAGGAGTCTTCCCTAGAACTGTCATTCCAAGTTCTCAATCTACTAATTTAACACCCCAATTTTACACATACCTCCCACACACTTATATACAGACCCCACCCCACTACTTATCTGAAGAAAAGCAGCTTCCCAAAATAGAATATTTTCCATTAAAGAAACATGTATTCTGTTGACATTTTTTTTTTTAAAAAAAAAGGAAGTTAGAGACGGGCCAAAGAGACCATAAATAGTCATGGGAAATTACAGTCATGTGTGCTATGGAGAAGAAAATAAAAGGTCATTCATGCAGTTTCTGAAACAGTTATGAACTAGAAAGGAAACCAGTTTCAGCACCACAATTCTTTTAAGTATCTTTACAAGTCTTTTTCTTCAGGTCCCATTTACACTACCTGGCTTAAATATCCTGGTTAAGAATTTCATCAGCGTAGAATCAGAATAAATTAAAATGTAAGAAATACATTTTTATTGCCCTAAAATATCACCCATTTGGGTCAACTGGAAAACCACCTGACCACCTCATTTCATTGACAGCCTCATTAAAATACAATTCCCTAAGAAATATGTAGTCAGACACACGAAAAGAGAGGACAAAGAATAAATTCATTAAAGTTTTGTATATTTTTAGACCAGAAAAGAGAAAATGTTGTTTTGAAAATACTGACAGGTCAATGCTCACCTAGAAAGCTGCCCATGGGACTTAAAAAAACACTTCACATCTGAATGAAGGAAAGAAAATTATTTCAAAAGGATTTTTGAAATTTGCTAATAGTTAAAGAACTGTATACTCTTTCTTTTTTCTTGGGGGAGGGGTATTTGAGGCACTTTAACTGTCAGGAGGCTAGAATAAACTCAAATAAATGAAGAAAATGCATTTTACAAAGAGTTCCATTAACATGTGAGAATGCCCAGTTTGTCAATCATTAAGGACATGAACATTAAAACCACAAAAGGGCACAAAGCAGACAAGTCTCACAAGCTAAGCTGTCAGGGAGGACAAGTGAGCCCTCAGAGAGCTTGTGGGCCACATCCACGGAAGGAAACGCACTCATGCACAACAGTTCCACTCACTGACTGGAAAACCATAGAATGCTCCCTTGCAGCATAATGAGGAAGTGGGAACGCTGTAGCAGTGTCTGCTACATTTATGGCAGTGGCTGCTCAGTGAAACAGCAAATGTCCATCTCCAGGTTGGGGAGAAGGACATTCATGTGGTAGAAGTACCCAGAGTGTGGGCCCATGCGAGATCTACATGACTCTGCAGGCAGAACCTTTCCCCTCCCCTCCAGATTCAGAAACTTCCTGGGCTTCATCTATCCTCATCTGCAATGGCCCGTGTCTTTATACCCAGATGTCGTGGTGGAGACTCAAGAGTCCCTGGAAGGTCTCTAGTGCTGAAGGGAGCTCCATGAAGCATGGGAATGATACAGTGTCTGGTGAGAGGTCAGGGCTAAAAAGCCTTGAGGCCAGGCTATGACTGCAGCAGTCAGGATGTCCTGCTGAGTGCTGTACCCTAGGATGTGGCAGAAGCTGGGCTCTATTGTTGGCAAGACCTCCTAGGAGTTGGGCAGAGGGATGGTGCAGATACTTACGTCACCCAAGAGTAGACAGGAGCTCTGCCATGGGTGTACCTCTCAGGGTCTCACCTCACAGGCTTGGAGGAGGTCGGTTCAGTCAGGGCTATGGGCCTCACTGCCCCAGTAGCCACTACACTTGGGCACTTGTTGCTGGAGCTCCAGCACAATATGAACAACACCCACATGAGGTGTTCCTTCAGGGTGAGCCTAGTAGTGAGGGCACTGGAGCCTCACAGTCTGGGTACCCATCCATCTTGAAATGTTTTCCAGTTTGTGAGGGTGATCTTTGGTAACCTTGCTGTACACCTTAGCAAGGGATTCCTGGGGCTTTGTGGAGCCCAGTAAATCACAAGGCTCTTGCCTTCTGGCTCCTGCCCTGTTCTGATGGTCAATTAAGAAGGGGAAAAAAAAATCTCACACCATACTCCTCTAGGAAATGAAACTAAGTTAGTTAAACTACATAGGCTAGGTCCAAGAGAATCATTTGAACTTTATAAAAAGTAACTAAATCATCCTGTTAATGGTCAAACAGCAAACAAGTGGACCAACAATAAGAAGATTCAGTTATAATGGTCTCAGGAAAACTAAATTCATACCCATTCTCTTAAAACATTTTTTTCCCCAACCTCACGATGTTTCAGCAGGAGACAAATTAAATTGATTTAATGGCCTAGGCGTAATTCTTCCACCAGAATGAACAACCACTTTAGATGTATAAAATTTCTCCAGTATGGACAGCAGTTTACTCAAGAAACAGGCTATCTAACCCCATTCCCTACTTTCAATCCTGTTTTAAAAAAAAAGGAAGAAAGAAATCTGCATTCTTAAAGCACTGAGTTTGGTCTCAGCTCACTATGATAACTATTGTTAAGATTCTGTAGAAAAAGACTGATGTGCCAAGAGATGTTTCCTCCTTATAACCTTCTCACTACACAATCCTCTTCAAATTAGAGAAAAAATAGTAAAATGGTATCACCATTTTCCTTTCATTTGTAAGGTGCTTTGTAGAAACCACAGCCCTTTCCCATTTCCCATCTCCTTTGATTTTCCCATCATCCCAGAGACATCCTCTCCTATTTCACAGAAGACAGACACTGAAGCTGAGAAAGTCAAACTGCTTGATGATGGTTAAATAACTAGTGGCAGAGCCAGAAATAAATCCTAAATTTCATCAACCTGGTTTCCTTATACATCTCTCCAGAATTCAAATGTTAAAAAACAACAACAAAGAAAATCTTTTCCTGAGAAATTTTCAAAGGTCCCTTTCTCCAAAAAAAGCTGGAGATCACTGGCTGCGGACTGTGAAGAGCATGTGTGCACAGCATTTCAAACTGAATTCTTACAGCAAGTTAATCACTAGCATAGTACTGAAAAAAATTTTTCTTAGCAGAAAGTGCTAAAGTCGTAGAGAAAAGACACACAGACACATCTCCTGCCCAAGAGCACTTGGGAAGCTGTCCACAACAGCAGTGAGAAAAATCTACTTCCTGCTTCTAGAGCAACTGCTCTGTTCCTTTGCCTTAGCACACTGTGTCCATCTGGCTCATCTAGGTTGTTTTCTTTTGTCTTGTTTGCTTTTCAGAAATTTCCACACATTCTTCAACTTTACAGCCAGATTCTGTCCCTGTAACCAAGCACTGGATTTGGTGCCATAACAGATTTACCTATTCATAGGAATGAATACCTATTTCTGAAGGACTTGTATGTATTCTATCTAACCAAATGGTCAAGGCTGTTTAAAGTGAACCCTTTTACTTGTAGATTAATTCCCTGCTTTTTGTGCCCAAAATGTTTTAGAAGTATCAAATGATAAAGTCTAAACTTCTTATTATTGCTTGTCTATAACATAGTACTTTTGACAATTTCATTTACTAGTAATTTAGCAGCTGCTTGCAACAATTATTTCTGTGGGGTTTGCCACAGGATATGGAAGGAATACTTCCATGATTCCTTCTACTTGTAGCTTGTCAATTAGAATTACAATGCAAGGAGAATTCCTATTTATTTATTCAATTATTTGCTGATATCAGTATGGACTTAAGAACATGTTTTATTCT